AGCACCTGCTTCCAAACAAGCCTGCAGGCACTAGAAGACCACAGCCCACGCGCAACATGGTGCTGCTAGGGCAAGGGTGAACCACCTTTGGCTGATTCATTGGCTCCACAGAACGTAAGTGGGAATATCTTGCAATAGAAATTCCCTCGGGAGTTGCTGGATGTGACTTGTTGCACAGGTATTAGTTACAGCAGCATGTAGGTGCCAGAGGAAAATGCCTCTCAAATTTATAAGTGAGTACATTACTGCCTTGAGAGCTTCCTTCGAGAGCTTTAAGCCTTTAATCTACTGTCGGTTTTGTGTTCAGAGCACAACTGTTGAACTTCACCCCCACCTCGGGCCACTTTGGCAGTATTTTGACTGCTCTTCACTAGTGTCCAGCTCCCTGGTTTTCAGGGAGGCCTGCAGCGATGCTTTAGATGCAAGTTTGCTTGATGAGATGATCAGTGCTGTGATACCTCGTTCTACTGTGGTGTTGAGGGCAGAGGCCTGGATGCCTCTGCGGATTTCACGAAGCGCCTAAGTGCAGGCAGCTGTGGTTTCTGGACTTCTGTGCTACTACTGAACGTAAGTGTCTTTCCAGTGTGCTTTCAAGCACAGCCGTGAGGGGCAGTGCATCGGAGGAGCTTTATAAACAAGGGCAGCGTTTGTTCAGAGGGTTTCCTCATTGCTGTTCCTAGCGGGCCCTGGGTAGCCCGCGGCAGAGCTGCGCTGCTGAGTCAGCTTCCAGGCGGATCCGGCGTGCCAGGCCCGAGCTCCTGAGCTCACACAAGCGGCGTCTACTGCAGCGCGCTCCTGCCCGAGGCAGGCACCAACAGATCCGGATTCAATCCCGGCGGCTCGCGCTGCCATCAAGGAAGGTCCTTGATAATAAACATAGCTCCGGACGGGCAGAGCTGCTGCTGTCAGCAAGGGATCAGGCCAAGGAGACCTTGTGTGGAGCTCATCTAACAGTGGTCGTTTTAGGTAGGAAATAAACAGTGTGATAGAGTTTCCAGAAAGGTTACCTTGGGGGAAGCTCTGAAGAAGCTCACCCTTAAGTGTTCCTTTTACAGCTTTCCTTTTTTAGAAGCTACTCTGTGTCTTTATTTCCCAGGCTTTTGTGATTGCGTTGATTACACATTAGGTTATCGTTCCTACTTGTTAGACTGGCAGCACCAGCCATTAACATATTACCATGGTTACATCCTTATCACAGCTTAACCTTTCCTTTCAACTAACCAAATCCAGTTTCAGCATTACTTCAATCCAGGAAAAAGCCCCAAATGAACAAGTTTTATTTCCTTTTTTAGGGGCCAGACAAGCTCACAGTGGCCTTTCCAGGTAGCAGCATAATGGATGCATACGAGAAATGCAACATCAGGGAAACTTTCTAGATCTGTGTTTACCTGTTCCCTTTTGCAAAGCCAAGACACTTTACTAGAATTAGACATTTTGGACTCTTGCGGCTCTTCTGAACACACGGCGATTTCTAAATCCTCCTCGGCAGCCGGTGTCCATGGGCGGTTGGAGCCCTCTTCTGCTCGTCCCCGGTCCCTGCACCTCACTGGCAAGATGGGAACCGCGAGTCGCCAGGAAGCAATTGCAGCCCAAATCCCAAAGAAGTAAATAAACGAACCGCCTCACGCACGTGAAATGTTGCAGGGCAGTGAGGCTTTGCTACATGGCGGGGCTGCATTTCTGCCTGTGCGCGCTGAGGTACGGGCTGGGAAGGGCAGCTCTGCAGTGGTGCTGGGATGGCACCTTTGGAGGAGAAATTCTCTTGGGAAAAAAACTGCCAGTGCTAATATCACCTCCCCACCATGGCACAATGGGGAGCCATTAATTTTCCCTCCATTGGTTCCCCTGTAATTCTGCTGCACAGCCTTTTGAATGCCACATTTAAATTAGTCTGCAATTGAAAATAATGAAGGTTAAAACCCTCTTACATGATTTTGATGATGAAATTAGTTCCTTTGACCCAGAAAACAGCTGTGGCAGCAACAAGCTCTGCATAGGAATAAGCCCACATTAACAGCATTATTGCCAGCTAGCTTTAGAAAGGTGTCTCCGTGCAAAGTGACTGGATACCCAAATATACAGTGCATTGCACGCTGCGCTGTTGCAGCCAGCCACTTGCCTGCCCTTCTCGAAGGGAAGCGCTTGACTGCGCTGACGAGCAGCACTGCGAGCACAAGCCCCTTGGGCCACAGTTTTGCCATTACGGTTAGCTCCAGGACCTCAGCCACCTTCTGCCTCGCCTGTCCAGCCCACGGCCAAGCTTGGACCTGCGGGATGGCCTCTTGGAGGAGCCCCCTTCAGCCTGGGCATGGAGGAGGAGCTGCTAAGAAGGGGGAAGGTGCTGGGTTCTGTGAAGGGCCGCTACGGGCTGGCAGGCAGAGGGTTGAGGGTGTCCCTCGCCGTGCCCCTTACCTACCCCATGGGGCACAGTGTGTCCCAGCGCCATGAATGCAGAAGGCTCCGGGATGCCAAGTGTGAAACATAACTCTGGTTTCCACACTTCCAGAGCAGTTAAAAAGCGGGTGGGTAAAGGAGAGAGTGGTCTGCAGGTTCCTAGCTGCTTTGGACGCTGGGCAGCACCAAGCAAAGGCTGCGGCAGCCTTGCTGCGGCCGCTTGCTCCAACAGCGAGCAAGGCTCTGGGACGTACGTGGTATCAGCGTCTCCAATGGTGCCTTTCTGCTGTGCGGTCCCAGTGCTCTGGGCTCCGGCCCGCGCAGAGTCCCCAGCTGCTCGCACATGGCTGCCACCTCCTGCTCAGCGCCACCAGATCCAGCTTGCTACAGCTTTAGAGCTTTCCCCTGGCTCTGCTCCAGCAAACTTGCAGGCTTTCCTGGTCTTCCCTTCCCAACAGGGCTATGCCCGGGCCTCCTCGAGAGCCCTCTCTGCTGGGCTTTTGGCCATCTGCGGCCCTCCTGGGCCCCTGCCTTTCATCCCAGCCCATCTGGAGCCCGTCTCCGCATTGGAAGGCCCTGCTGGTGTGCGCCCACGTGCGCGGTGCAGCAAGGCGAAGATCATGCATGGAGCGGGGGTATCCTCCTGGCATGCACCCCGGCACGTTTGCCCTCCAGGTGTGGTGGTCATGAAAAGGTGAAGGCTTCGCAGCAGCGCTAACCCCTCGCTGACACTTTCCCCTCTCCTCTGCGTCACATGCCAGGTACAAATTGAACCCCCACCTCCAGCTCAGACTCCCCAGAGCAAAATCTTCCAGGCTGAAACCAAGCACTGAGCCAGCTGTGCACGCGGGAGCGGATGGTTTACGTTAGGTGTCCAAAGAGCCCTTCTCTGGCCTCCATTACCTTGAACTGGGTGAGGTTCAGCTGTGTCCTGCAGCCAGGAGGCGATGCCGAGGTGGCTGGTAGGGCCCACCACATCAAGGCAGCTCCTGAGGGTTGTGAGCAGCAGCTAAACAGGCACTCACAATTCCTGAGATGCCCATGAAGCTGAATAGGGTGCTGAAGAGATTTATTTACAGTGAAAGATACAATCCGATAGCTGTAGATCCTGAGCAGGCAGCCTGCCCGGGAGCAGGGGAGCGCAGGGAGGGTGCCGGGTGTGAGTGCACGGCCTTGGGCAGCAACAACACCCTCTGCTCCCCAGCCGAGAGGGAAACACCCTGCAGGACAAGACCATGGCCACATCATCTCCTGAGCTGTCTATGCCAATGAGGCAGGTGAAGAGGCTGAGGTCTGCGGGCAGATCCAAGCCTCCCTTCCCTGTGACGGGACTTCCCCAAGCCCCGGGTCACCAGCAGAAGGGTCTGCCAACCTCGCTCAGCTGCCCTTGCTTGCGTGTTTGCAGCTTGCGGCCATCGTGGCAGCGTTTGAGAGTACCCCAAGGAGCCCGCGAGCCCAGCGCGGCCGTTCTCTTTGGAAGCGGCCGTGGTTTCGCTCGCGCTGCTCGGCTTCGATTCAGCCGCTCTGAAGCCTAGAGCTTTATTCTGAGGCTCGCAGCCGGGCCCGGGGAGCGGCAGGGAC